GCAGGTTTATCACAGCATCACGATGTGTCCGATGAAACAACAGCAGGAACACAGTCTATCGCCATGGAGAGTCCAGCAGGGGAGACGCACGCTACAAAACACATCAGAGATCGTCAGGCCCCAACGTTCCCTTAAAAACATTCAAAAATTCAGATGTTTTCCATCGCAAATCTTCCGCCCAACAGGGACCTGTAAAGCACATAGAATTACATCAGAGAGAAAGAGAGGAGGAGGAGGAGGAGGAGGAGAGGGAGGAAAATTCTTCAAGTATGAGAAAACTTTACAGCTCTCCTCCCCTCGGCTTCTCTTTTTTCCCTGCTCTCTCCTCTGTCCATCCCCCGTCCTTCCTCTCCTGCTGGTCAGTCAGTCACACTCAGAGGAAGTCTGCAGACCACAGCAGGTAAGATGCTCCTCCACATACGCATATTTGATTCATTTCATTCATAATCATTCAGGACATTTTGGAATAGGTTGATTGATATTATAGATATTGTATTATATGCAGGGATAAGAATTACATGTGTTAATTGTTCATTAGAGCTGAGATAATGCAACAAAAAGCAATATGCATTATTAAAAATCACTCTCAGATGGTCTTATGTGATACTAATGCTAATGTTTTGGAAACAAAACTGTATAACTCACTTTAGAGAATCAGTCATCACAAAAATAATGATAATATGCAACCACATTCCGAATATTTTTTATCTAATCTATTCTACTCTGTTTCCTCTTGCAACCATTGTTTTATGTCCTATATAACCATGTTGCATTGTTGGAGGAGCTTGGGACTTAAGATTTGCATTGCCATTTCTACACTGTAGCTACTGTGCATATGACAATAAAGACTTTCAATCTTGAATATTCAGAAAACATTTTCTTTTTTGCATTCTTTTCGGCACACCAGCTGTTGAAAAATAGAAACTTCTGTGGCACTCAAAAAGTGAATTTTCTTATGCAATGAAATATATACATTTTCTGAGTATCTCTTATTTCCAGTCTGCAATTAGGATGATATGATTTCACCCTGATTCATGTTAATTACAAAACAGAGATAAGACAGATGTTTGCCGGAACATTTGAAAGATTGCCTTAAACAAGTGAATTCTGGAAACAAGTGAAATCACCATGTTTGCATAGTGGTTTATCCAGATCAAAAAAATAGTTAAGATGACGATGTTAAATGCACTTCACTAACATCAAGGCATTATGGGGGATTCAACCGCATCCACCCCATCTTAAAGCTCCTGCATGCATGTAGGCAATAGTTGAAATGTGCTGCAGATGAAAATGGAAGCACATTAATGTGAAAATTACAAACCTTGAGAGTGAAGTCGTTTTGTTTTGTTGTGCACATGTGACATCATCCTGTCTGACTGTTCAGACTTTAGAGAGTTCACTTGACTGATATTTGGGAAAGAAGGCTTGTATCGTAATGGCTGTCCATCATTACATCACCAACAACAACAAATCAAAACACTCCATTGACCTGCAAAAAGTCCACAAACTATTTGTTCGCATCTTTTACATGTCGTTAGCCTTTACTGAGTTCAAAATGTACAGTTTTCCACATGATGGGTTGGTTAGGAGTTCTGCTGTACATGTTTTTAAAAGCAGTCTGCAAAAAGGGTTTTGTGTATCCAGAGGAAGCTGTATGAAGTCTGATAAATATCCCCAAGTGATGTCACCGGAGTCAGTGTTGGTTGAGTTTACAAATTTGAGAAGGAAAAAAAGAGGGGGAGTGGAGTTTGAAAGAAATGATGTCACACCCCTCTGCAGCTCCTCATACCTGCTGCAGGTTGGAGGCTCCAGGCTACATTAGCACCAAACTAGCCAAACACACCTGGCTCTCACACCCAGCTGTCTGTGATTAAGTTGAATTATGGGTAATGTAGGCGCCAGTTTTTAAGGAATGTGGAAGAATTTGTGGAATAAAAAAGACTAAATCTGCATAGAAAAATCTGAGTAGTACTAATTTGACCAAGTTATCAAAAGCAGAACATCTTTACTGATTTGGAGGTACAGGATGAATTTAACAAGTTGCAGTTTTCTATAGTATTTTATCAGGGTCTGTTTTTGGTTTACGTATATATGTTGAACAGAAATAAAGTTCTGAAATGAGAATAGAGGTAGCAGGTTATAAATTAATTGTATTGTTAAACTGCTAAAAACTAAATTGCACTTAACTTCTGTTAATGAATAGTTAAAGCACACATTTATTCACTTCACCTTCATGCACCTCACATCTGAACGCCTCTAGGTATCTCTCGTTTACACGTCATTAAACACAGCCAAGTTTGGATATCAAGTTATGGAGGAGTGTTCTTTTTGGCTTCAGAGGCTAGGTGTGAACAGGAGCAATAAAATCAGCAGCAGTGCGAGAAGGTAAAGGTGAAGAGCAAGTGTGCAGTCTTTATGGTGCGTTCAGGGACTTTCTATTGCCCTGTCTTTCCGAGAAGGTGCAACCGGAGCAGCTGCAGCAGCTGTCAGCGGCAGGTATTTACAAGCTAATTGTTCCCATTGAAGTGAATGGGGTGGCTAACGGCGGGGTGCAGACTGACTGCAGATGCTGAACTCTCTGAGTCAAGTCAATTTAGCACCAGGGAAAAAATGTGGGTTCCATATGAAATGCATCAGTTTGAGACTTCTGATACCATTTGCCTTCTGCATGTTGTAATGAGACAGGCACTTAATGTCATTTTATGCATTTCTAACAAGGGAAAAAGAGCACCACCAACTTATTATGTGTTTTTAGGTCATACATAATGCCTGGAGGGGATTTTACACATAGCTTTAACCACAAGGGGAACATATACATGTATGTTCTGTAGCAAACCTTATGATTTGGTGTCTCTGCTGTAGAAGAGAGTTTAGTATGTTCAGGTCATAATCCTTGTTATTTTTGGCTTTTATTGTTATTTTATATTTATCTAAATGTTGATATTTAAATGTTTTAATTGCCTCTTTTTTTGCTTTATCCTTTTTTTTAGAATTGTCCAATTGTCTCTCACAAACATCTCAAAATATACTGAATGTATTGGCACAGAATAGTGCAGACATCAGTAGTTCCCAGAATCATGGGACATTTCCTCACCACCATGGAGTTCATATTTATAATTGTATCTCTAATTTGTTTATGGAACGTCATTAGAGATTCATCTTCCTCTCAGGGTCAATTGTCAAAACCTTACTACATCTTTGACTTTTATTATAGCCATCAGTCCAACATTTCAATTTGTCCAAATACCCACCACACTCTACCTCCAACCACAGCTGTTCAGTGTTTGGTGCAATCATGCTAAAATGCTAAATAAAGTTAGTTAAAGAGCAACTTGCAGGTAAGAGACCCCAGTGAACAAATGTGTAGGAAATTGATGTATACACTAGATTTTCAAAAATAATATACAGAAATATACACTACAGTGACATCTGGTGTCGTTTTTGTAAGACATTTTTACTTCCGCATAAAAATGTATGAATAAACATGGTTCACAATGCTAGTTTTGACACAGAAGAGGTTGGAAAATGCATATTCGTATGCATATGACGGACCACAACCTTATAATTATGAGCCTGCTAGGCGTCCAAGAGACCAGGAGCAGCCAAGGATTAGAAGAAATAACGGCCATCGGAGAGAAATGGAGCTGTGGTGTGAGGAGAATCAGTGGAGAACAGGGCAGCTGTCTTGGTGAGTGACCGGCGTTAGCTACAATTAATGTTAGCTAACGTCGGTCATATCACAACATTGTAAAGTTAGCTATCATTGATAATAAGTTGATAATATAGTAACGTTACTGGCAGGACTTTGATACTGATCCATAAAGGAAACTAATGTGCAAGTATCAGCCGTATCTCTAAAAGGTTGAAGAAATGTAGGGGGAAACCATCTTTATCTTTTCCCTCCATTGGGGATCTCCCACAGCCTCAAGTGGTCATTTGAGGGACTGCAGTTTTTGGCAATCCCCTGTTTGCTTAATTTGTTTGCACATGTTACTGTAGCTGCTTTTTTTTTTTTTTAAATATTCTTATGTTTTACAATGGAATAACTTTTCAAAAATAAAAAACAGATTATTGTATTACATTACATTACATGTCACTTATTAGACGCTTTTATCCAAAGCGACTTACATACTCAACACTGTGGGCAATCCCCACAGGAGCAATTTGGGGTGAAGTGTCTTGCCCAGGGACACAACGACATGCTCACTGCAGTGGGGTTTGAACCTGTGCTCCCTTGATCCGAACACCAACGTTATATCCACTGCACCACACGCCTCCACGTATTAACATTGCATTGAACAGTATTAGTGTGGGTAAGGATTAGGGTTAGGGTTAGAGTAACATGAGCAGTAGACCTGGTGTAATAAATTAAGCCTTTTCATATAAAATAGCTCCATTATTTCTTAGTGACCTCAAAGTTTTTACAATAAAAGATTAACAAATGTTGACTATAAGGGAATTAAGATGTATTAATGAACTTATTTTAACTATTTGAGATTCAGAAATCACAGTCAACAAGTAAAGTAACTAAAAACAGTGAGACATTAGCATCCATTTCGTGGAAATACTTAATCCATTAAATAAATTAACATATAACAGTGTGACTAATAGTCTGCTGCGTGATCCATCAGCAACTGGCTGCATTCTAACAGATCACTCATTCAGAACAAGTTACTTTTTCCGTTGTGGTTTTACTGGCCGACACGCGACAGTGACAGTGAAGCCTGTGAACAGCTAATGGCCCCATTTGTGCTAATTGTGACCAAAAGGGATTGGAAATGTACGGTGGATTAAATGTGTGTTTCTTTCTTTGTTCCAGAGGGAGAGAGTACAGAGGGAAAGTGTCCGCTGAATGTCCTCAGCTCTTTGGATCTGACTGAAGTGACAGCAGCTGACAGAGATCTCTTTCACCTCCAGAGCTACAGATTAACAAACTGCTTCAGAACAGTCCGGAACCTTTCCTCTAATTCACCCTGAGGGAGGTTTTCCTGACCCCAGCCATGTTTTCCTTCATCCCCTCCCTCCTCCTACTCCTCTGCCTCCTACTCCTCCCCCCGGCTGCTCCCACCCTCCTGACCCCATCGCCCCCCCGTGAGCTACAGGTCAGAGATCAATGGATTCCGAGGGACAACAAGCAGGACTCCTTCAAGGTCAGTTGATTGACATGTTTTTGGTTTGATTGACACATTCAAGAGATAATATCCATCTTTATGTTGTGACCGTTTATATCCACATTAGTCCAGGCTTTACAGAACCTGCTTCTCATGGCAAGAGATGCATTTAGAGAAGTTTCCTGAACTTCAATTATATCATCATCCAAAGACACAGAAAGACATATTCAGATCTTTGACATCAAAATATATATTATGTTGAAATTTGCTTTCACTTTTTGTGTTCATACATTTTATTTGTATTTAATTGAATTTGATCGGTTTGGGAATTTAACTTCTTCTGTTTATTTAAATGTATAATCATTTTATTTTCTCTTTTTATTGCTTGTGATTTGATTTCTTAATTGGAACTAAAAATGAAATCCCTTGACATAAATTATTCTGATTCTCAATCAGGTTTCAGGATGTAGTGCTTTAACGCTTCGGATCACATACAAAATATTTATTAGTGATGGTAAACACTTTGAAACTCTGACATATAGCCCCACGGGCCCTTTGGCCTCCTGGGCATGTCCCTGATTTTTGGTATATAATCCATGGAAAAATATACCTGAGTTTACTGAATGAGGATGGTTGGTTGTGTCACAACTTTATCCAGTTCCTATAATTCTCTGTTCATCCTGATGCATACTGGCTCTACTAACTAACGTCATTGACCTCACTTCATAATTAAATGCATTGTCAAATATTGGTCCGTTTGTAGTAAATGGGAAATGGACTGCATTTATATAGCATTTTTCAGTCTTTCACCCATTCACACACATACACAGAGGGCTGCCAATCCTGCCATTTAAGGTGTCACTTACTCAGGGAGACTAACATTCACGCACATCGTGAGTTTTTTGGGGTCAAGTATCTTGCCCAAGGAAACATTGAAAAGTTGACTGCTGGAGCTGGGCTTGAACCCAACCTTTGATATTTAATTTAGCCCCATAAGTAGGATGTTGCAAACCTAACACAAAGAAACAGCTGATCGTTCATGTAATCTTTGTTACAGGTGGTGATCTCCGAGGGCTGCGTCACTCAGGGAGATTCATCTGATGCCAGCGAGGGAGGTAAAACCCTGCAGAGCAGTACTGTTTATCTAATGAAAAATATCCTCAACCAATGTCACTTTCTTACGACTTCATCATTGCTAATCTCAAAGTTCAGTTTCAACCTTCTCCCAGTTTTAATCCAACCTGTTCCTCTCTCAGGTAAAGAAATAGACCTGACTGCCGGTTCCTCTCTGGTTCTGACCCATAAGATCAAACTGGTTCCGTCAGGTTTTGGGTCGGGATCCGGGTCTTGTGGTTGTGAGGCGGACTTTGCTGCCCTGCGAGAGCGTCTGGAGAGGCTGGAGAGGGAGGTGTCGTCCCTCAGGGAGAAGTGTGGAGGACCTGAGGGGGGCTGCTGCACCTCCAAAGAGAGCAAAGGTATGACCAGGTGGCTGTTACTTTGACCTACAGAGTGGTGCAGGAATACGTCCCAAAACAGGAAATGAGCAAGCATTTCACCACTTCAGGTTCCCTTGTCTTGAAGTAAAAAAAATGTTAACTTGTTTTTGGTTAGATGCCTGAAATAAGGTCTGTGGTTAACACTAGCTGAAGATATTTTTAATATTGTGTACAACCACATAAATACATCAGTAAATACCCCACTGGTGAATGTCTGAAGCTACTATGTGTCGCAACAGCGGTTGCTAACAAGTGGCTTAATGAGACTACAAAACCCAATCACGCTGAACATTAGCCGCTATTAGCTTAGCAGCGGTGAAGTCATGTGACCGTGATGCAGTTTGTTTATGGCCTAACGTTACCTTTTTGATTCTGGCGATTGCATTTACGCTTCAAAATCATAAATCAGTGTTAATATGTGGATATTATCCTGCTGAACAAAACGTGTAAGCATGAACTTGTGTTTTTCCCGAAATCCAATCAAAGTACTCTATTTATTTTTTGTCAAGGGAGCACTTACGTTACTTCTTGGTTGGCCAACAAAGAATACGTAATTACTGCACTGCTCTGTTTCTATTTAACTTTACGTATTATATATATATATATATATATATGTATATTCATGACTTAATAAGCAACAAAAGTGGCTATAATCAGTTTAAAAACAAAAGGCCTCATTGTTTCAACCAGTGTTCCTATAATAATTCATATCATTGTCTTTGTTAATTGAAAGTGCATTCCAAGAAGAGTTGGTCAGTCACTTCATAAAGATATTCTGCTACATTTGATTTATTTTTGTGCAAGTTACAAGTTTGGCCTTAAGGTGGCGCTAAAATAAAAGTGAAATGTTACAAAACCATAATCAAGTAGCTGGTAATGTGATGAAATGCACTAAGGATTTGTATGCAGGAAGGTTATTAATGAAATGAACAAAAAGTTCAATGATTCTGGACTGCCCCTTTCAAATGTATTGTATCATTATACTTTAAAGTGTTTCCTCAGAATAACAACTGTTAAACCATAAATCAGCAGATGTAGGGTCTGACTCATACTGAACATATAAAAGTCTGACTCACAGTTCACAGTCTATATATTTCCCAGCTTTCATCTCTCCCTGCTCCAACTCCTCGTCACATTCAGTCACAATTTGCCCTGCACATGTCTTTGTTTTGGCCAATCGCATGAGTTCATATTACTTCACTGTTTCTGCCTGTAGCTGCTCCTCCTGTTCCACTGACTCGTTATGCAACACACACTCACACACACACTCACACACACACCCCTTCTGCAGCCGACGGTTGACAATTTATCATGCATTAAAATAGTTTTAAAGATGTTAACTTTTCTGAGCATATAGAGCAGAGTTACACATTCATACCGTTTGTTCCATCTTTTTTCTTTATGTTATGGTGACCTTACCAGAATAGGTTAACACGTAAAAAACAAGCCTAAAAAAAAGATGAAACAGCTTCCATCATGACGTGTGCCCCAATGATTCCAGATTCATACCAGATATTATTACACTGAACAAATAAATGAAACCTAATTTAATAATGAGTTGAACTCAACTCAACCCTACTTGCACGAAATAAACTGAAACCATCATTGAATCCAACAACAAAATATTCAATGATCAACTAAAAGATCTAAATATCCCTTCTCAAATGTTGACAAAGTTTAATCATTTGTGTATCCGCCCTGTAATGGTCTCAAAATGTAAGAGGTTCTGCCTTGGCCCGCAGGCTACACTCTTCCAACAGGTTTCATGAAAATCAATAAACACAAACATAACTTCCTTGGAGGTAAATATGAAAAACAGCTACAGTGGAATCAATATCATCAAATGTCAAAATAGCTCTATTTCATTTCTAACATTTGTGGGGTGGAAATATAAAGTACCTTTACCTCCATATTTAGTGACAGCAAGAACAGCACTTGAGTATTTGTACTTATTAGATCCGTCACAGTTTAACCATCTTGGACAATTTTATATTCAGTTCGTCACCAAGTTCCTTGGTAAAGTGGAGCTGACCTCAAGACTGAGCCCATTAGAAACTGGCAAAGCTCAAAGCATGAGCTAATTGTGTGTGTGTCGGTGTTTGTGTGTGTCAGTGTGTGTGTGTGTGTGTGTGTGTGTGTGTGTGTCCTCTGCTCTCTGCCCAGTGTGATCTCAGTCTCCATCTCCTCCCAGTCCAGAGCAGCTCCCCTCCTCTAATTAGTCAAAGCCAGGCCACGTTACACTCTAATGACGGAGGATTAGGCCTCCACCTCCCACCATCAAATACTGAGAAGGAAGAGGACTCTGTTCTGAATAATTCAAGACATGTTTGACAGTGTGTTGCAGATGTAATAGATATGTTATTTCATGCAAAAAACACACAAAAAAAGACTTGCACAATGGAAGAAGTCTCAACAACATATATGAGAAGTGGACACAGGTGCACAGCATAGGTCTCCTGATTAGACAATAGTTTTGGCCACAAATGACAACATTTCACACACACAAAAAACTGACATATTTGGCATTTACTCTTCCATCTACATCTGACTGAACAATACACAGCCACATCTATTTGCTGCTGAAACAAAAGATAAGTGTCTATGGCGGTAAAATGTTAAACTGTAGCTTTAGTGTTATAAGACATAATGTTTTTTTACATTATAATAGGACTTACTTACTTTTTGCACCCCTGCCTGAGAAAGACTTATCTCATTATAACTTAAAACAGTTTTTGTCATAACAAGAAAACCTTCTGAAAATCAATACACTTTTAACGTTATACCAAGATTCTGATGCGTTTTTGTTTTTCTTACGTAGCAGCAGTACACTTTCATAAAAGTATGTGGGTAGTAAATACAGAGTAAAGCAGGACAGTGTCCAATTACAAAAGAGTATTGCCAAAACTAAGAAGGCTAGCATTTAAAAATCCTTTTAGTAGTTGGAGGCATCTGTATGTGATTTCCGTTGTTTATTTCATTTGTATGTCCCTCTCTGCTTCAGGTGCAGGCTGCTCCATTAAAACGGAGACGGACGAGTGTCCCAACGAGTGCAGTGATCAGGGTCGCTGTGTGGACGGGAAGTGTGTCTGCTTCCCTGGCTTCAGCGGACCGGACTGCAGCGAGTCCGACTGTCCCGGAAACTGCAACGACAAAGGCCGGTGCGCCAACGGACAGTGTGTGTGCGACCCTGGCTTCACCGGCCCCGACTGCTCTGAGAACTCCTGTCCGGGCAACTGCAACAACCAGGGCCAGTGTGTGAACGGCAAGTGTGTGTGCAGTGAAGGCTTCTCCGGTCCCAGCTGCTCGGACCAATCCTGTCCCGGAAACTGCAACAACAAGGGCCGCTGCGTCAACGGACAGTGTGTGTGCGACCCTGGCTTCACCGGCCCCGACTGCTCTGAGAACTCCTGTCCGGGCAACTGCAACAACCAGGGCCAGTGTGTGAACGGCAAGTGTGTGTGCAGTGAAGGCTTCTCCGGTCCCAGCTGCTCGGACCAATCCTGTCCCGGAAACTGCAACAACAAGGGCCGCTGCGTCAACGGACAGTGTCTGTGCAAACCTGGGTTTACCGGCCCGGACTGCTCCCAGAGGGCTTGTCCGGACAACTGCAGTGACCGAGGTCGGTGTGTGAACGGTAAATGTGTGTGTGACAGCGGGTTCACCGGTGCGGACTGCTCTGAGAACTCATGCCCAGGAAACTGCAACAACAAGGGGCGCTGCGTGAACGGACAGTGTGTGTGTAACCCCGGGTTCACCGGACCAGATTGTTCCAAAAGATCATGTCCTGATAACTGCAACAACCGCGGGAGGTGTGTGAACGGTCAATGTGAGTGCGAAAACGGATTCACCGGTCCCAGCTGCTCGGACGAGTCCTGTCCTGGAAACTGCAACAATAGGGGGCGCTGTGTCAACGGAGAGTGCGTCTGCGATGAAGGATTTGGCGGCCCGGACTGCCTCGAAATAACTTGCCCGAACGACTGTACCGATCGCGGCAAGTGCGCGGACGGAAGGTGTGAGTGCGAAAGCGGTTTCACCGGAGAAGACTGCTCGCAGGTGTCCTGCCCGGGAAACTGCAACAGTAGGGGGCGCTGCGTTACCGGACAGTGCGTCTGCGATGACGGTTTCACCGGATCGGACTGCTCTGAAAAAGCTTGTCCCAATAACTGCAGCAACCGCGGGAAGTGCGTCAACGGGAAGTGTGTCTGCGAGGTGGGCTTCGCCGGGCAGGACTGCGGCGCCAAAGGTTGCCCCGGTAACTGCAACAGCAAGGGGCGCTGCGTCAAAGGGAAGTGTGTCTGCCGCCGAGGGTTCAAAGGGCCGGACTGTAGCCAGTGTGAAGACGGCATGACTGGACCCAACTGTGATACTGGTGAGTCAGAGCCAACACATTTTAGAATCACTAATTGAGACTAAAGAACTGTGTCATTTACACCCCTTTTCCACTGGAGTGAGTTCCGTTCTAGTTCTGGGCTGGTGCTAGCTTGCTTCGCAGTTGGTTGGCAGGTTGAACCAACTGCGAAACCAGTTTGCTGTGCATTACATCATTTACTTTTGAACAATGGCAGACTGCGTAGGAGCTGTGCTCATGTTTTTCTTAAACTTAAGAAACCAAATTAAATTGATGAAAGACTTCTCCAATTTAAACCTCTTATCCGGATCAGAGTGCATGGCTCTGGGTTCCAGCCCAGCAGATTTCTGGTTCCAAATGGGAAAACATTTTTGAGGCTGATAGCTGGTGCCACTGCAGTAGAAATACAGAAAAACTGGTTCCGAACCAGCCCTGGCACTGCTTCAATGGAAAAGGGGTATTAGAGGGAGTCTCCATTTACACCTGGAATTAATGTGTTGTTTGTATAACCATTGTTTCCCGCATTTGGATCAAATATTAATATGCATTTTACTGTTTAAGCCCTCTTTATACACCTTATATATTGTAAATGCATCTAGTATCAAGGCTGTATTTACATGTAGCTATTATTTGAACTGGTTACGTTAACACCTGTCTCCACACACACACACACACACACACACACACACACACACACACACACACACACACACACACACACACACACACACACACACACACACACACACACACACACACACACACACACACACACACACACACAAGTGGCAAGGAAATTAATCCATATTGGACCTGTTTGTCATGAGCAACATTCTGGCAATAAAATGCTTTAAATCATTTGTTTTATAATCAAGGGAATATGGACCAATTTTGATAGATGTTCTCTGGAAACAATTTGTCTTCAATCCAAAGTGAATTATTCAAAGGCAGAAGACAGAAGAGACATGTGGTTATTCCTGAGAGGATGATGTAGTTCAGCAGTTCCCAACCCTGTTTTTCAACCTCCCCAAACTTCATGCATCCATATTAAATAGGCCATAATGCTTTCCTGTAGTGTGTTCTATAGGTTTTTGTGCATGTCAATGGTCAGCAGAGGCTAAAATCCCTGTGTTCCCAGTTTTTTCTCTGTGTTTATCAGTTTAAAAGCAGCTAGTCAAGGTTGAGCTGATATAAATGGAATTTTATAATGCTGGATAAATATAATATATGATAATTAAGAGTTGATTTAAATGTCTGAATTTGCAAAGCAACTTAATACTTGAGTAATTAATTCAGTAAAAGTAGTGGAGAAAAAAGGTACGATACAGTCAAAGAAAAAAAGTACTTTTCCCCCATTGTGGATACATGCTTGGAACTGTTGTAAAATCGTCATGGTGATTGTTTTAATTTGTTTCCATCAATGATCTCATTATTTCTGCACATTCTGGTCCAAGCCCTCGTAACGTCTTTATTGTATTGAACAAATTTCCTTTCACTTCGATCATTTGATGCATCATAATGTGAGTGGTGTGAGTGAGGCCTGTTGCTGTTTTGTTGTTGTTTGTGTCTCGGTCCTTGTTGTTGCCAAGGCTACGGGAGTGCAGTAGTTTGTTTCTCTGGAGCTGGCTGCAGTGGCTCCAGTGACGGAACTGTTTCATTAAGAGCAGGTTCCAGATCTGCTGCCCATAGAGTGTTAAGTGTTTTCCCAAATGTAACCGCGACCTCTGATTGGATCAAAGGGAGGGAAGTCCCAAAATCTCAGCCCCACAAGAGGGACATTTTATATTTCCATCCACCTGTTTTAAAGGCACATTTGTGCAAAAATAACAGAATTCAAGCAAACTGCACAGAAGTGTTTCATGCCTTGAGAAAGTGTTGGTTTAAAGATCAGTGTTGAAATGTGAGTTACATATAACCTGTACTTTCCTGAGTACTTCCACTCTAAACTTCTACACTTCTACTCCACTACATAGGAGATGTTTATATTGTACTTTTTAGTACACTATTTGTCTGGCAGCTTTACTTACAGTTCAAATTACAATTTAAAATCTCTCAATGTATTTTTTTTATTAGAATTTTGAATCTTTAAAGGATAAAGTGTTCCTTTGTTTGTTAAAATGATCCTACTTCTCAAGCTAAATGAACAATTCAACAAGACTCTTGAATCAGTTAAAAAAAGACATTGCAAAGCTACAAACAAATGATTTTATTGAATATGATGCATTGCTCTAAATATACCCAACAATAAATAAAGGACTTAAAATAAGCATCAACTTTAATGCAGCAGTAATGAAAATCCAAATACATCTTATTTTGTCATCTTATATAATATTAAAACACTGGCAGTGATCCGGAACAAGCAAAACACTTTTTTATTACATTTTGCTGATGAAACTTGCATTTACTGTTTTTTATTGATACTTTTAAAGTAAACGATCTCAGTCCTTCTTCCACTGCTGCTTACAAGTATACAGTAGATAGGAAGGAAGTGATGCAACAGTACTTTTACTACACAATAAATACTTTAACTTGCGTTCATTTTGCTGATAATATTTGCATACTTTTACTTAGATTTTGATGCAGTACTTTTACTTTGAGTCTTTCCACAATGTGCTTGCACTGAAGTAAATGATATGATTACCCCCCACACACACTCAACCCCTCCCATTGCTGTGCACTTTTTTTTTTCTTTTTACTGTAGAGCATCCACAGGTAGTTTAAACACAGGATATGACCTCAGCAAGACCAAATGCTAATACATACTTTTTCAGGTGCAGCAATGAAATGCCCCGACAGGATTCAGCATCTCCAAATCTTCCTATAAAAGTAGTTGAAGTAAAAAAACTTGTGTTTAGAAACTTTTGCAGGAATTTAATGCAAAGAAGATGCAATTAAAAGCATGTGTGAATGTGGTAGGTGGCCTCATGACTCTGTATATGAAGCGCATGTTGGGTCTGGGTAACTGGTTACAGGAAACATGACGTCAGGCTCTCGCTGAGCAGTGAATTTTTCAGCACCAACTTTATGAGAAACTGGTGCAGTAAAGCAAACCTGTGAATTATTATCAAGTGTGCTTTACTGTGTGAAGTCATGCATCAGCTGCACATGTTCCCGTCTGGGCTTTGTGATCTGAAGCATGAGAATCCATAGAGCATAACATAGCATAACATTCTATCAATCTATAATAATACATCATCATTAATGTATTTGCCTTTTCCCCAGCCAATGACAGAGCTGGGATGTATCAGCTATAGCCAATTAAAGACAAGGGGTTACTGTGAGACTGACAGGGTAACTGCATTGAAAGTATTTAGCCACATGTTGGTGAAATGATCAGAACCTGGGCCAAACTGGTCACAAGTGGAAATTGTAAAACTTTTATAAAGCACAGATACAGTACTTGATTGAACACAGATATTAAGTGGAGTATTTGCCTGCTGTACTAACATTATATTTGTATTTATGTTCTGCAGCCATGTCGGGGGTCTCTCAGCTGAGCACCAGGGACATCACAGAGACGGATGTGACTCTGTTCTGGACCCCCCCCCACGTCCAGTATGACACCTACCACCTGACCTTCAGCAGCCAGGTACACACGTGATCCAATCACACTCTGGATCAATGCTTCTGCCTCAGTCACTGCGCCTATTTATTTGCATTATGACTTTGTTTGCAATCATTACATTACATGACATGTTACTTGTTAGAGGCTTTTATCCAAAGCGACTTACATACTCAATACTGTGGGCAATCCCCACTGGAGCAATTTGGGGTGAAGTGTCTCAGGGACACAACGACATGCTGACTGCAGTGGGGTTTGAACCTGTGACCCCCTGATCCGAACACAAACGCACTAGTCCACTGCGCCACAGCCTCCCCATACACATTCCTTCTAAAACTGTTCTCTACTATACTCTAATATACTACACTACAATATGTATACTACACCATATCATAATATACTGTATACTAACGATACTATACTACAATGCTAAACTACACTCAACAACTACAAGACTAAACTGCACTACTACTAACTATACTATACTATACTATACTATTTTATACTCTACAAGACTATACTATACTATAAAACATTATACTATACTATATGTTACTACCTTACGCAACGCTCTACTATACAATACTTTACTTTACTTTACTACACTCGACTATACTCTACTCTACTGTACTATACAATGTGATGCTATGCTATACTATACTATACTCCACAAGACTAAACTACACTTAACTTTACTATACTTTACTATACTATGCTATACTAAATTATACTCTACTATACTATATGATACTACAGTACACTACACTATAATTCACTACACTCTACTATACCATACCATACTATACTATACTTCACTAGACTACACTACACTAATTTCTACTCTACTCTACTCTACTATACTATACAATACTAAACTATACTTAACATTACTATACCATACTATACTAAAGTATACTGTACAGTATCCTGAAGTTTGACCCACACATTTTAGAACATGCAACTAGTTTTTCCTCGACCATCGCAGGATTTTTGTGCACTCACAATCTTTGGTTTGATTGTCTCCATCTGGCACTCAGGAACACAACATTAGTTCTTCATGGTTTTCTTCTGCAACTCTAATCAGGTGTGGTCGGTTCAAACAAAGTGGATTCTGGGAAAATCAAGTGCGGACCTCCTTAGAATGACTAGCATTAACTTTATTCATTCAATAAAGCAGGGAAAATGGCACACTTAAATAACACATGTTTCAGTCTTTGGGATTGGCAGAAGCTATCAAGTATTTTGAAGTCAAAACACTTAAGTCCAAGTGTTGTCACAACTCATTGGTTTCCAGTTGCGAGTAAGTCTAAATACTGTTTATGCTCAATATCTGTCAAACGAGACGTAGAAAAACACACACACACACCCTTCACACACAAATAATTCAGACAGCAGATGTTTGCTGGATGTCCCAACATTCAGAGCTGCTCAAAGTCTTTATACGGCCGCTCGTTTTGAGGAAAAAACTTTGGCGGAAGTTTACACAAGATCCTTAGGGAGCTCTAAAACATGAGGATGAGGTCTGCAGACAGAACTTTAAAACTCAAAAGCATCACCTCAAACAACCTCTGCTGTCTGACAACATAATTAACCAGAAAACATGATTATATACAGTACCTGCAGCCAATAGGACCACAGCTCTGTCTCTGAAGCATTTGTTTTTTGTAAATGTAATGCCAGGTTAGATGTCATACATTTTGTGTGTAGGCTTGGATAATGATGTTGTTTAATTAAGCCCTGAGCCTGTTTTTCAGGTTTCAGGCTCGAAAATGACATGCCCAGAACAAATGACTATAACTTCACTTCTAAAATGGTTCAATTAATAATCTTTTTTCTTAAAGCAAGGTTACATCTGTGAGTTGGATGTAGAAGTGTCAGAATCAGTATAGATGTTTCTGTGTCAGAGTAAATTCAGATGGAACATTGTAAAAAAAGGTAAATTCTTACCTCCGCCTACAAAAAACCCATTACTTATAGTGAAAACCACCCTTGGATGATGGGTTAGTAGACTAACAGCTTTAGGAATCCAAACTACAACATATCATAAGTACCCTGTATCAAGATTGATGCAAAACAAGTGACATTTGACCTCTTTAGAGAGATTTATACAAATAAAAATAATATGAAATCTCCGTTTTTTTACATAAAAATGCAATGATGGATTATCAGTAATCCTTTCAAAGTGACACAGACACATTGGATTAACCTATGGATTAACCTTCAGCGGCGTTTTTATCATTTTAATGCCATTGAACACGACTATTGATCTAATTTGAGATGATTTCCAGTGAATGTTCCGTAATTCACGTGTTGTGACGTTGACCCGCTATTAGAATGCATTGATTTTCAAGGTAAAATGTTCTTTTATTGAACAGTGAGTTTTGATCGCACAGGGATGAAATGTATACCAATATAATCTGTGGATTATCTCAGTTTTTCATACAGGGCTCGACATTATAAATGGCCCGCTGGCCCGGAAGCATTATTTAGACACCGCGGCCAGCATAACTACTTTAAACTCGTCGCCCCACAGCTGTTTGCTGCGGAGCGCAGCGCGAGCAGTCTCCCGTGAGCGGGAGCGCACTCCTTCACTACAGACTCTCTCTATCTCTCTCTCTCTCTCTATCTAGATAACTATCTATCAATATATCTATCCATCTATCTCTCTCTCTCTCAATCTATCTCTCAATCTATAAGGAACCGCAGTAGACAAAAGGCGTTGCTATAGCAACACGTCATGTTTATATGAAAAGGGGTGGGGTCAATATGACCCGCTGGGCGGAAATAGGTATAAATGGCAATTGTTTTGGCGATTTCTTCAATCTGACTTCATATTGACAATTTTTAATAACATAGGGTGCTACATAACACACTTTCAGGAAAAGTCACGGACTGGGAGACTTTAATATTTTATTGAAAAAAAGTTACATACAATAAAAAACAGCTCTGGGTCAAATTGACCCAATTCGAGAAAAGTGACTTCACATTTCAAAGTGACTTAAGACATCAGGCAAGGTCTCAAAAACACTAAAATTAACCATTCAAGGTACATTAAACAAAGATTAATCAGTAGGCCTACATGTGTATTCTTTGGGATATTTTTAGCTACTTTATCCGTCATATACTAAAATAAATCAGCACAACTGCTCTTTTAAAACCATTTTTAAACATTATAAATGTTATCAGTACATACAAAATCAAACCAGAGTTTCTGTTTACATGTTAGTAAACTCAAAGTAATACTCAGGAAGCCGACTAATATGCTTCTTCCTTAGAAAATGAATTGACTCTTTCTGGTGGTGTTTGGTTCAAAGTGCCAAGTTTATCTATTACTGTTCCATCCTTATCCAAACTCAGCCCTCCTGGTGTTTTTCCTCTCAGATGTTTGTGAAAAACACTTGTCCTAATTATTAAACACATTCTCAGGTCACAGTCTGGAGATGAATGTACACAAAACCTCTGCTTCAGGCAATGCACCAGTGGCGATCCGTCAGGGCCCTCTAGGCCCTCTGTGAGGGCCCTCTAGGCCCTCTGTGAGGGCCTAAGATATTCTAAAAAATAATATTTGAAATTATTTTTTATATTTTTTGTTTGTTACATTTTTCATTAGTTTTACCAAAATAACTTGATTTAATTGTATTTAAAATAACATTTCCAAATAAATAAATCCTTCGAATCTGCCTGTTCAGTTTCTGTTGGAATGTAAAGGGTTAAATGCCGTATCTGCGAGTTACTGTGAAGACGGGAGAGCTTGTTGGTCCCTCTGTACATTCACAGAGGGCCCGCTATAGTAACTCAATGAGAGAGTAATGTCAAATGACAGTACAATTGACCAATCATATCTTCCCTCTAAATGGGTGGGCTTTATTTTCGCAGACTTTATGACAACTTCCGCCCGGCGAAGACCCTCCCCTTCCGGTGGACCTCCATGGGACCTTATTTCGGAAAAATTATGTATTGAAGTCAATGGAGAGAGAAAGATTATCTTTCGATCCCGTTTGAATTGTGCCACGAATTACACATATGATGTTTGTCAATTTAAAAGATAATTTTGCAAGTCAAAAAAAAAAAATGTGTCGTAAAACTGTGAAGTAAGACATTTTTTTGTGTAAAACGCTCAATGAACTACATCTCTGGTCTCGCACAACAACACACGTCACCAAGATGCCCGTCACTAAGATGCCCGTCACTACTGTCTTGTCAAAAAAGGGATTGACTACCCTCACTATCACCACAATGAAACACGTCCAGAAGAATGTCATGCAAAGCTGCCTGCCTGCCTGCCTTCCTTTGATTCTCTCTGAACTGCCTGATCTTTTTAATGTTTAATGTCAACCATTTGTGCAGATAGCATGAAGTAGAAAAGATTGCCGATGCTAATGTAGCGTTAGCGTTAGCATTTCTCCCCCGGGCTTAAATGGTGTATTATAGAATGATCACACCGGTGTGACAGTACTCTTCAAAGGGTTCACGAAATATGACTACTACTCTTACTGTTTAACATTTTGGGTTACTTAATGTTACTTCATGTTAAGGCTAATAAAAATGACAAGGCTAAGCCGGCTGTAATGCTAACTAACGTGCTTGCTACTAGCTAGGTAGCTAACTTGATCCAGCCACTCCTGGTCCTTTCATCAGACGGGAAGCGAAAGAACGAGCAAGACCCATTGCTGGTATGATAACAACCTGGTACTAAGCACACAGGCATCTTGTTAAAGTTATCTTATCTTAGCTATCTCTTATTTAGTGGAGGAAAACAATTGTGACATCAGTTATGAGTGACATCACGCGACTCTGGGATTTGTAGTCTTTCTAGTTGCGTATTTTTCATAGTCTTATATTTCAACAGTTTTATGACAAACTGTGACTTTTTTGACATGGAAATGATTTTTTAAGATTGACAAACATCATATGTGTAATTCATGGCACAATTCAAACGGGATCGAAAGATACGTTTTCTCTCTCCAATAGGCGCGTTCACACCAAGTACTTTGCCGTATTTAGTGCCGGCACTCAGTGCCCCGGCA